GACGCTCAGGATCTGACCCAGCATCTCGAAGGCATGGAGCAGCGGATCGACGAAGCCCACCTCAGCAACTGCGGAGGCAGTTTAGAAATTGCCCCTTAGCAGACCCTAAGCCTAAACCCCTATATCCATAGACGCCAAGCCTTCAGCCGCAAACTGCATCCCGCAACAATCTTTAAGGTTGTGAACTCCGTAATCTCGGACTTTGGGCCTGAGTACAGCAAGCAGACCTTGACGCTCAAGTGCGCAACCCATAAACAATCGCAAAAGAAACAACTAAAGCCCGGAACCCTTTGGCCTTATCTCAAGACTCTTGATCCTACACCGTACCTCATAAACAAGACTGGAGCCTTGCTTCCCATTTGCCTGCAGCTTGATATACGACCGTTCCGTTGCAGAATCGCGAAGATCTAGGGCTTGAAGCTTTCGCACTTACTGTTGCCGGGGAGAGAGGTTATGCACGGTTGAGGGTTTAGGGTCTTAGAATGTCTTTGCCAGAATTCCCAAATCCTGACTTGAAACCCTTCTTTGCATGTCCTGGGCTGTGGCAATGGAGCGGTGTACGAAGGTGATACTCTGCAGCATGTAGATGCCTCACGTTCAGGATTTCAGTTATCTGTTTCAAGAACCTTCACACCCGCCACCATCGGGTAAGAATTGACTTGGACATGGTGTTGTGGCGGCGACACTTAATTTGGAATTGGCTGGGAGCTACGTATCGTCCAGTACTCCCTGAATCTCTGAGCTCTGCATCTGCCTTCCGTCTTTGTGATTCTGGATCCCGCCGGTTTAACGACCTCGAATCCATTCCTGCTCTTTACCTCCCCCTGGATCTGAGCCTCGCATATTTCAACGCGACTAAAGGCCTTCATTGACGGCAGGTGACCTACGGCAGGTGAATGGGGTGGAACGAAAGTGTGCTTGGGGCTTCTGAGTGGGAAGTAAAGTACTGTAAACATCGCAAGCAATAAATACTCCTCGTCGCCACTGCCATCCACTGCCACGGCAACAATGGGTTTAGAGCATGCTTGCAGCACCAGCTGTGCCAACCACCACCGCTGCTTGACATGTTACTTCTACAATATAGCTTTGCCAATGTGGTCGAGAAGTACTCAATAAGAACACAGAAATTTGAATGCTAGAAGTACAACCACCACAACCGTCGCACAATACCACAACTCATATTTACGATCCTTGTCGAAGCAACAGCTACTGTAACAAGCCTGTTAAGCATAAGCCAGCACCGGTCCCTGCCGAAGCCAGGCCGTACCTCGGGCCCCGGGTACGGAGCTCAGGTATATTAAATTGATGCAGGGTCCACAAGCCTTACAGTTTGCGATTCGAAGTTCAGGTGCTTTTCGTACTCAAAGCTTCAGGCTTCAAAACTGAAAGCTTCTGCGCTCTGCTTTCAGGCTTCAGGGTTCAGCTCTATGCGATCTGGATGTTTGACATCGGGGTCTACTCACCAGACCTGGGAACTTGACAAATGGCCTGCGGAATGGGTCTACGGCAACACTTTAGGGCTTGGGGATCTTTCTGCCAGCGAACTGGTAGCGTCCGAAAGTGCCGCGGAAGTCAAAGTCGATAAACGGCGCCAACGTTGTCCACAGGACTTGGCAGGCAGATTCTGGTACGCTGGGATTCTGTGGAATTTTCGGCTGGAGGATTTGGGGTTTACATGTCGTCAATGCCGGCAACTTCGGCAGGGCCTGGAGCAGGTGGTTCACCTCTAAGCTTCAACACTTAAAGACCTAAAACACCAGTTAACATGTCAACATGTGCAGTGCCCTTAAGTTTCAGGCAAGAAACTTCTCAAAATCCAAACAACTCGGATATTGCTTTTGAAAGGTCTGCGTGCACCAGCCCGCAGACTCGAAACCCGCAGAACTGCGAGGCAGAGGCCGCCAAAGAAGACGAAGACGACCCAGAGGCCAGCCTGGCAGTTTTCGCCAGGGCACCGTACGTAGGATTTCAGAGCGCTGCTGGTACAGGGCTGCAGTCAGGACACGAATTCTCAGATGCTTGTGGGGTTCTGCAGGAGACATCGGCAGAAAAGATCGTGCAAGCATTTCGGGAAGGAAGAGTGCGTGCATGCAACATGGGACGTCATGAAGGTGCCACTTCTGCTTAGGATCATGCGGTCAGGTTACGTAAGACGACAGTGTTCCCTCACGCAGGCATTAGAAGGAGTCTGCTTGCGCCGAGGAGAGCCAGGCCATGGCATGAAACATGTCGAGGATGCCGCCACCAGGACTTGGCCTTCGGCATCTCATTCACTAGAGCATCTGGTGCTTGAGTTGCAACGGTACCACCGTGAAGAGAATCGTGAACTGAGCATTAACTGCCTCATCGCCCCATCCCATGAATAGCAACAGGCCTGCGGCATGCTCCCAGGTTGGTACAGCGCACTCCTCACATGACCCACACAGACGAAAAGCTGACTTTCTCGCATCTTCAGGAGTTACCCCCGAAGCTAAGCTCTGAGCACCAATGCACAACTCTTCCGCACGAACGACTCAGCCCATCCATCTTTGGCAGTGGAGTCATGAATAATCCGCGCCTCCACCGTTTGGCATCCCCAACTTGTGTCAGACATATCATCGAGGGCGAAAGCGGAGGAAACGAAGTAGGAAGCTACTCTATGCTGGGCTCAGCGTTGGTGAGGGCTGTGCGACAACTTTGGTTACAGCCTGCCCTACTATCATAAACATGGTCTTCATTGAAAATGCTCGTTGCAGTAATCATCTGCAGAAGCGCTAGAATAAAGAAGATCGGAAGCCTCTACCATCGATGTGGTCTTCACCATGTCTGTTGACAACTTGAATCGAACGGCAGCGAAGATGAACAAGCAAGATCGCCGAATGTTGAGCCTAACCATCGGTATGTGTGATGTTGCGTACCTGCTTCACCACTCAGCCTCGCTTTTCTTGCGCGAAGAGATCTGCACAGAGGCTGGACACGTTCTCGATCGGCTCGCACTGCAACCGCACCAAACTCTGAAGCCCCTAACCTTAAAGGTCTCTGCCATGCGACACAACGTCCAAACTCGAGGTCGTATAGGTTGCCTAATCCGTATCAACCGGGTAAGTGGCTGAGCTCTGAGCCTGTTCCTACTAACTACGGCCAACGACGCCGAACCAGTGGCCGCGCCACATGGGGGAGTTGTTCTGACGCCAGGAAGTATACTATACTAGAAAGATAGGAGTTTGCAAGAGCGACCCCTGAAAAAAAGCAAGCATTCTAGTGACCGCAACGGTAGTCGATAGGGATAGATCTGCATGGCGACAGGGTCACATCCCTCTAATCAAAGCAGCATGAAGACAAGCCGCATCGGGATCTGCCGTACAAACTACAGCAAATGATGATGAGAGCGACAGGAAAAAGGCAAAGATAGTGATAAGGACAACGATACCGAGAAGGCACTGATAGCAAAATAAAAGCCACTATATTAAAGCAAAATGAAACTACAATGTGTATTAACACACGAAACATCAGGCATGGCAATGGCCGTACTAGCGGTAACAGCAGTGGAAATAACAGCAACACTGCCGGAAGGATACAGTAACATAGCTTTAAGGTGAGTGATGCAAAGGGATCCCAGGGCATGCAAACAAAGCACGGACCACACTGCAAAAAGAAACGTCGTCGTCGAATCAAGCTTGCAAGCAAAATTAGATCTAAACAAGTACACGATCGAGCCCTTCAAGCAGCCTCAGCACCTACAAGACCTCTGATAAGATTCCCACTCGAGGCTCGTGGATCGTAGTAGGTGGTACACAGAACCCATGAGGTACCACATCATTTACCTCCGCAACGCCGACACAATTCCGGTTGATGGCAGATGTTCCGTTCTAGCATCTGCACACAGATATAGGATACAGAGCAACTCCCACTTCAAGGTCGTCAAATACCAAAAATCTTCCTCGAGACTCGAAGGCTCATAACATCGTCCCAGGGTAAGGTAGGATTGTCGGGACCTGAAAATTTAGGCTTTGGGTTTGTGGATGACACCTGCCTGGGATAGATGCTGGACGCTTCAGTTGCTCAAGGCGACTCGTTAGCTCGGCCTTTCGGCCGGGAAAATGCTCATTTCCCCTTTTGGGGGAGCCACGTGGTGGGAACAACAATGCCAATACACTGATGCACCCAGCATAATTTCAGAGAGGGTTGCGCATCCAAAGCCGCGGAACCATCCCAGGCAGTAAACAGAAGTCTGTCAGAACCGAAACCGAGTTTTCTCTTCTCTGCCCTAGGCAACAGCCTTATGAGATCTATGTATAGCCAAGGCACCCTTCCAGTCTCTTCCAGTCGTTTCGGCCCTGCAGCCATCCAAGGGCCGGCTAGCAGGCTAGAGCGATGAAGGCGAAGATCACGGCCACGAGGGACAAGTGGCCTTTTAAGAGCGCCCCAAGGCGATGAACAACCCAAAGCCTTGGCCCAAATATCCAAACCCTGAACCCTGACTCCTCGAGCCGGTGGGGGATCAGAATCATTGGTAGAAGGGTTCACAGTTCGCATTAGGGCCTCATTACATGGAAGTTTAGGAAACAGGGCTGAGCTGCAAACACATCGCCAAGGATCTGGCAGACTGTTTCCGGCCCAGGATTTGCGATCGGGATGCAAGACTAGCTTAGGGCTTTAGTTTTGCAGGGCGTAACTCTCGGCTGAGGCTGAAGTTGGGGTTTGGGGCTCCAGGCTGTCACTGTTGGTGTGTGGTTCAGGGCTTAAGTAGATTGAAGCCGTAGCTTCGCGATTGAAAGTCCTTTCCGCCAAGATGCTTTGCAGGCTCCCGTCGATCAAAGCGCTGTCGTCGCCACCTCTGCAAGAAGCAGTGCTACGGCCTACACTTTAGTAGTCCACAAGGCAGACATGACATAACATACTATGTTCTGTACGCTTCTTTAGTTCAGATAACTGCATATCATCCCATGCTACATATTGCAGCAGATTCTATTGCGGTGTATGATTTGTCATATGGCCCACGACAAACAAACCCTAGGGACCCTAGTGGAAGCTGCGTAGCCTGCGGTCGTTTCAGTGGTCTCCTTAGTTGTGTGAGTCTCTTTCAACTCTTTCTGCGAACTGCATTGGGAAAGCATTGCAATGTATGGCTCGAAATACCGATGCAGTCACTTCGAAACAGAGCATGGCCCGATCTAAGCGAGAGGCATTGTTCACTTGCGTCGTTGTGGTAGCCGATGCTCCCGACCTTTAACATCGCTTCCGCTGCAAAAGCAAAAGTCATGCTGTTTTCGACTGGTGGCGTGGTGGTTGTGGTGGTGGTCGTCGTGGTCGTCGTGGTCGTTCTCGTTGTTATTCCAGCCTTGGTGTGGGAGCAGTAACTGTGGCTGCAAGTATGCAGTCGGAGCTGTTCGTGCCTGCTGCTTCCGCTGCTCCTCCACAGCTTTCGCCCGGCTAGTGCGAGCGGTGACAGATGTGTCCAGAGGGACGGCGGCCCCCCAAAACGGAAGAGCGTTGACGTGAGGCTGTCCCGTGCGGCCAGACACTCCACACATGTTGAATTCCATGGCAAAGGCTTACAAAGACACCTTTGCATTGACTTTGCCCACGGTGGACGTAGCCTCCGGAATGAAAGTGCGATCAGTATGGCGACCAAGAATCCACACACGGCTGAAGCACGACCATAGAGTGTTGCGAAGATGCTCTGGGGCTCCCTACAGATGCAAGCTTCTTGCTGCCACTCTTAGCCATGTTCTTCAAGCGTTCTCCCACTGCCGATGGTGCGACACCGGTACTTCCTGCGCCGCACGGGAAATGCATGTCCGGTATGAGTGACTGGTTGAACAATTAATGTTGAACGGAAACTAACTGGAGGTCGCACTCCAACCTTGCAACATGAGTACCTTGAAGACGCATCACGACAATCCGCGTCCTGTGTTGCTGACCGTGTAGACAAGTTTGGTGGAGGATGTTGACAGCCGTCGGCCAGACCCGCCTGAAGTGTGATACTGCTTCGCTTTTGCATCTGCCCTGTCTCAAGAACTATGTCCTCGTCGAAGGCGACAGCTAGCGAAAGCACAACTTTAGCACGAAAAAGCTTCATTGCCGATCACGCTGCCAGATTTCACGGCAACTGATGTTGTCAATCCTGGTGGCAACTGTAACACCTCAGCAAAGTGGGGCTTCGGGTTCATTGCTTTCGGGGTTTAGGGTTTGAGGGCTAGGTCAGGAATATAAGCTTTCGGTTTAGGCTACCGAGGCTCCATGGCCAAATGATAAAGGCGCTGTCGAGCGGCACTGTTGAGGGTCACTCGTGCTGTTTCGGCATTTGCAACCTGGGCTGGGAAGCTTCCAAGACAAGATGCATTGGTCATGGGGCCTAAATGTCTGACTACTGAGAGCAAGGGAGGTAATGAAGCTGGTTATGGTGGCAGTGGCGCTGGTGCTGCTGGTGGTGCCGATCATGGTGGGATTGTGGTGATTGTGGTGATCTTGGCGGGTATCGCGGTCGCGGGTTGTCGCGATGGTGGTGGCGGCAACGACGGCAGTGGCGGTAGTGGTGGCGGCAGGATATGATGATGCTTACGTCACGAGTATTACCGCTCATACTGTACTAATCATACTAGTATTCCTTGCATTCGTCATTCGTTGAAGACTCAACACTAGGGGTGTCATTATCACAGAGCACCATCACCATCATCATCGTCATGATCGTCCAGAAATGATCGTCAGCACCATAAGCATGAATAGCAGAAAAAAACATCACAACTAGTCGCCATCACCCTTGTCAATCACCAGCGGCATCATTATCACCGTATCATCTTCATGATAAATAAGGGCCATCACCGTCAACATGGGTGCTTAGGATCGGGTAACAGTTCAACTCAGCTGCGGTCTAGGGTGTAGCGATTACTGTAAGGTCTAGGGTTCGCGGTCTCAAGTTTACGAAGGGCTTACGGCTTAGGGGGTTTGGCAGCTGTAGTTTGTGTCCAGGGTTGGCCGTGGACGACAAATGGCCTGGATTGGTTGTTTAACCCTATGTCGCCATCGCCATCACAATTGCCATCAGCACTACATTAGTCACTATATACTGATGTGATCACTATCAGTAAGACTCCTCTGTCAACGATGATTCTGAAAAATGAAAACCACTTGGACCCGAGCTCGAGTGGTCACTATTCCAAGGTGGGTCATTCACGCTAGGATACCCTGTAGAGAACTGCATCCTGCAATCAATGTCCAAGCCAAACCCGCTGTCAAAAACCGACCCAACAGGCATGCACATGCCCACCGAGCAGCCGCATTCTGAGTGGCGCTTTCCAAGGTCAAGATAATTTTGGAAGTTTGCTTCTGATTTTCACTGACAGCCGTGGTGTTCTTGCCCCCCGTGCCATACCTGGGTAGGAGAAAGCACATCCGCTTGTGCGCTCGGTGCCAATGCGAACCAACTTGGTTGCAACAACATCGGCGCACTTTTTGAAATCATCATGTGCTGAGAAGCGGCAAATCTTGGCAAGCATTAGCACTTGCAATTACAGCTCCAGTTGGACACCTCTTCATGTTCTTCCCCGGCTTGCAAGAGCCTTCTTTCAAGCAGCTCACCTCAGCCCACGTGCGAACAGACGTCCACGCCACACCTGCAAACCGCCTGCAACTGGCGACAAGGGTTTGGGAAGACTTGGTGCCGTTAGGCAGCTGTCACGGATTCAAAGTTGCCGGACTTGTCCAAATTGGTCTGGATGCAAGTTTTGTTGCCTTTGCGGGAAATTTGGCTGCCCTTCAACTGACCATCAGATATTCTTGAGACCTGCAGCATGTATGTTGAAGCTAAGAAGTTAAGCCAATATCGGCCCTGCCCAGTCCGAATCTGAAGTACAAGTGCAGCACCCTGAACCTCGACAGGCATGCTGAAAGACCACAAGCGACACTTGTTCTATCGTTGTCATCTGTTTAGCTACTCAAGTGTATGATTTCTGTGAAGACTCCCGCTGACACTGTCAGTGCCTTTGTTATCAGTCTCACTTCCGCCCCACTCCCATCACAGAGCATCGCCTGCTTGTTCGGCTTCAGGAGTACATGGACGTGGGCAGCTGGTCGTGAGCTTTCCACTGAACTTCGATGTGCAGATCAGCGCTTTGGCCTCTGCGCAACCAATTTAAGGGCAGGGCTTCGATTGTGTTTCTTTGGAGCTGCCGACAAAGTTCCAGATTGAAGCGCAGTCGAGGCACGTCGTTGGGATCAGAGCAGCTGAGGGAATTCTTGCCACAGGGGCAAGGGTTGCCCGGTGCAACGCAGGCTGTCGAAAATCCGGTGACCTGGCCTGTGGTTGAGTAATCCACGACGCTGCAAGTCGTTTGTGACTCCTGGCACGTGAGGGTACTACGAGTATTGGAGCATTGTTTGGCTCGCACAGAAGTTCAAGCTGCAATCGCGCCTTGCAGGGGCAAATAACATCGGCTACATCCTTCAGCAAGCACACGTCTTCGCCAGGGCATTTGACCGTGTTCTTGCCGCACGGGCACAGAGCATCGGTCGCGACCTCATCTTGGCAGCATGTTCGGGGCATCACGGTGAACAACCCAGTCCTGTCGCTGTTGAACTGTTGTGATGCTATTTGCGTGTGCACCTTTGACTTCCACTATCTGCGGCAAAATCACGCAGACCTCGCGATCGCTGATGAAGTCGCCTCTGTCTGTGAAATCTGTCAGATAGCCTGTCAAGACTCGGACGTTTGATATGCCGGATGTAGGAGGGATAGCAGCGAGCAGAAATAGTCGTCCTCAACACACCTATCTTGCTGACTGTAGTGATCGGGCATCTCCTCCTCCTCCTCCTCCTGAAGCTGCTACGCTGCTGCTGCGCTGCTGCTGCTGCTCCCGCGGCTGCTGCTGCTGCTGCCGCCGCTGCTGCTGCGTCGCAGAGATTTCCGCGCGGCAGCTGCAGGACTAATCACAAAAGAAAAACTCAAGCTTTGCTGTTGTCTTCTGAGTCGCACTTCTTTTCCGCCGCTTTGCAGGTGATCGGGCAGCCCTCGCTCTTGCTGATACATCCCGCTGCTCCCGGGCAGCATTCGGCTTGCTTGCCACCTCAGACAGGCAAGAGGAAGCTGGGTCGTCTCGGACCGATTTTGAGGCCTTGGCAAGGGCACTCGGCCAGGCTGGCGGCACACTTCTTGGAGGGCGACGCAAGGCCCAGGTACGTTCCATCTGGCATGAAATCCTCGACCTGTGGACACGGCACTTCGTCCTCAGTTGCAGTCATCACTGTGCCATATGACGCAATGGATCATGATTGTTGCGGCGCTCGGACTTGTAATTCGGAACGTTTCTGTTGTGAGCGCATGCCAGCTTGTTCACTGCGACTCAGCAAATCCCAACTAACTGCAAATCGAGTATCAGCTGGACAAGTGCTGGGGCAGAAGCCACCAGCCAAGGGCAGGCATTCCGACCATGTTCCCCACCTTAGGCTTCGCAGAGTGCACTGCTAAGCATCAAACACGAGTGATAGCAATAGGGTTTGGGGTTAGCTGGGGGCTGGCAAGCGAATTCTATTTTCCTTGGAAGTAACTAGATTCGGATTTCAATAGGAAATGAATAGGAAATCGAGAAATGCAAAACAGGAAACGAATAGTACATGAATAGGGAACGATTAGAAACCTCTATCCAAAAACCTGAAAAATAGGACAAGTAGTAACCAAAAATAAGGAGGAAATAGGAAATAGGTAGAAGTCCATTGAATAAAGGATGCCAAACGAAAAAGGTACAAAGTCCAATTCAACAGCCAATCAAGAGGAACAGAGTCGGGTTTTTCGGTAGTTCCCTCATTTTCTATTTTTTGTACATAGTGTGTTCATGTGTTCCTATTGTTTCCAATTTTGTATTGATTGTATTTACTTTTCTTTATGTTTTGCGATGTTTCTTAAGTTTGGTCTTAAGTTTGCTCCTAATTTTGGTAATGTTTTTGCCCCTGCTGTACTGTTTTTTGCCCCTGCCATTTTGCTCATGTTCTCCCTAATTTTCGGAGAGAAGAGCAAGATAGGGAAATAGGAACAAATGAAAACATAGGTCTTATTTTTGGTGCTATTGTTGGTCCTGTTTTCGGCTCTAGCTTTGGCTTTATGTTTGTCACATTTCCAGCCTATGTGTTTCCTATGTGTTTCCTACTGGTGTCCTATGATCAAAACCGAGCATGTTTTCCTACTATTGGAATCTTATCCTAATTGTTTTTTCAAACATCAATGGAATTAGCTTGAAGCCCGGACGTAAATTTAGGGCAGTAGTCACAACAACATTCGTCGCAATGACGAGCCATGTTCCTGATACAATTGTTTAAAAGTGTAAAGCAAGCAATATCATGGACAGTAATGAACCATCTGAATAACCACAGCATGAAGACGATCTGTGTTTATCTCAACAACAATGCTGAGACGACTAACAAGACAGTTGGTACCCAGCACACGGTTCGCAGTCAGACGAATGACCATGATAGCAGTAGCCACAGAACTTGTCGCCTGGCACGTCATCGTCTTGACTATCACCTCACAACCATCATCAGCATCGGCAATATCGTCAGTATCATGATTCTGATAGTCAACCGTTACTCATTGGCACCTGCTAATAGCATGACCTCAGACGAGCAGCGAGTCGGTAAAGTTGCATTCAAAGGCATTTTGGCCCTTGGAGCAGTCACAGCGCTGGTTTTGAGGCACGCAGATTTCCTGAGCCAGGTTCAGGGTTTAGGGTTTCGGGTTTAGGGCTCCGCTTAAGGCTCAAAGTCTAGACTTCACGGTTCAAGTATACGGTAGAAGGATTTCGGGTTCAGCATGATTTGCCAACAGTGCCTGCGTGCTGATCCAATCCCCCTTCGCATCATAGCTGGGAATGTAGCATGTGTTCTCGTTGTCCTTGCAATACACTGGACAATCCAGCCGCACATTGCTCCTGAGATGCCAGCTGTGACACAAGAGACGCAGCCAAAGACAGCAAGTCTTCTGCAGCCATGTGACCAGAAATCCCACTTCGGATAGCAGTAGGAGTCTCCGAAGAACGGATCCGTACATTTCTGCGAATGCGTGCCGCACGGGCATGACGTCCCCTGTCCGAAGCTTCAAACAACTATCACTCTGCTAAAAGCACATCAGTCAACATTTCCGAGTGATACTGAGGGACAGTAATCGTGATCAGAAACGAGAATGCTAAAGCTGCTAAAGCAAATGATCAAGAGCCTCGCTCTTAGTCGTCACTTAGAAACCACAAAGGAGCAATGAAAGCGAAAGGCCCGAAAAACACCAACCACCACAGCACAAATACCAGCAAAAACACTTGGCAGGAAGAGCGGCAACAGTGACATTGGGTAAACAAAACAACTGTAAACACATCGAGTCAAAGAGAGCGGCTCCTGAATTCAATCAACGACAACGATAGACACAGAACCATGAGAACAAGAAGTGAACCGATCTTCAGAGAATACTAATGATATCCGCATTATTATTCACCGCATTGCCTGAAACAGCACAATGATACCAGCGATATCACTCACAGCACTGCCTGCAACAGCACGTACTTGTCCATCATGATAGCAGCTGAGAAAACAACAGTGTCACCAATACCAGCTCTACAGACTGGCTGTGTCTTTGTTCAACATTTTTCCAGTGCGACAGCTGAGGAAAGTGGATTCCAGCTCAAGACCTCGCGTAAGCCTGAAACATGAAACCGACACCTGACAAGAGGACTCGGCACATCTGAAAGGATCATCAAAGCTCGAAGCCACCCACGGCTGCGACTTAGCGCTTGCTTCAGGGCTGCTACCACAAACCAGGCCTTCTGAACGCATGTTTCCTTGAAGCTCGTCGGATAGCCCGTGGCATTGTAGTCCGATTTGAAGCCTGCCAAACATGCTCAGGAAAGATACTGGACCTGGCCTAGGAGTCAGTCTTGCTCTGACTACCTTCAGTCTAGCTTCTGCCACTTGTACTGCCCTTCATGCCCTTCTAGCTGAAGCCAACCCTCAAAAACGAACCACAGACTCCAACCAGGAACCCTAAGCCTAGACCCTCCTTGAACTAAGCGAACATTGAGCCCCGATCTAAGCTCCGCCGAGCCGAGGAGCACTTCTCTTGGCTGCTGGAGCAGGTGACAGGGCAGGATTCCGCGCTTGGGACGCAGTACTCCTCACATTGGGTTTTTTTGTCAGGTTTGGTTCTGTTGGAACACTGCGGAGGGGGGCGTTGAGTGTGGGTGCAGGGTTTATCGTTTTGCGGCTTAGCTCGCGAGCAAAACCCGAAAGTGCGAGTTCTGGGCGCTTGGATGAAGGTGCAGCTTTAGGGTGCCAGCCACAGGGTTTCAAGAGACAGCGATGGCATTCCAATCGGATATACCGTACCCTCAACACAGTTGGTTAGGCCCCAGCTGGGCTGCAAGATGGCAAAGCGTCTTGCAGTTGCTGCTTCAGTTTCGAAGTTCCAAAAGCCTTGGGTCTTTACTCCATCCAGCCAGGCGAGGCTTGCCCCGAAAAGGCATAGGCTCCAAGGCTTGGCCGGGCCTCTTCGGCGCCGAAGTCGTCGGTCCACTTGCAAAGCTTCGCGTTGGCGCCGCAGGGGCAGGTCTTCTCCTGTGCCACACAGCTCTCGTTGATGGGAGCATCCCAATCCTCGGCGCCGGAGAACTGTGTGGGTTCCTTCCACCTTCTAGCCGACGGACAGATGCTGTGCCTCTAAGCCTGCCAAGCAGCATAGTCTCCTTCTGGCGTGTATGATACCGGATAACAGATTTTTTGGTCTGCTGTACACTCTATCGGGCAACCGTAGTACGTTGCCTCGCAATAGGAGAAGCCGTTTGAGTTGCCTGCAGAAACGGGCAGAAAACCGTGCAGCAGAGACAATCGGTGCCTCCTCGACAAAAAGAAAAAGTGTAATTGTCTTAGCCAGAGCGCATCTAACGCTGTTCTCTCCGCACGGACACTCCTGCCCTTTTGGCCCGCACTTGTCTTTGGCAGACAACCAATTGCCTGGACACTCAACAATAACCATGACAAGCCAAGAGGTGAAAACGCCTTGACGTTTAGCAGTCGACGCACTTTGGCCATGTGCCTGTTGCATCGAAGTCCGTGACCCAGCACTCCTGCTGTTCGTCAGTACACTCCTCCGGACACTCATCCTTGGCTGCACGGTGCTCTATTTATTTTTCCATGCAAGACACACCCTCACGTTGAGAGCCGTGCTTGACTTTATGGGAACCCTAAATCTTTAAGGCACGTACTGAAATCCTGCATGCCCTAATTAAAGCCCACCAATCCTCAAGAAATCGTCCTCAGCTCTGCAAGTAACTATAAGGACGACAGCAATCGAAGCGTAAACACAGTGACCGTAACGATCATGAATCATGACAGAGCAGCAGCGCATTCAGAATAGCAGGGAAGCAGAATCATAATCGCAGCAGTTCTAGTCACCGATCCACAATCCTGAACCCCGAAAACCTACCGGTTCTAGTGGCTACTCCACTGTTGACAAGGTGCTGAGGCCGCAATGCAGTAGGCAGAGAAACCGGAGCCGCACTTCTTCGCCGAGTCGGCTTTGCAGACGACGGGACAAAACCAGTCATCATTCCTAGCCCGGGACCAGGCTGCTGCTAAAAAACGGTTCAGGATTCGACACGGTTGAGAGTCTGGGCCACTCACAGGAGATCAGCTTCAACCAAAACCCAATGCAAACTCTATTGATTCAATGGCCAGATTCTGAGGTTCGCAAGTGTCTGTCCAAGTCATCATACCATTGGCATCAAATCCTGCAGGCATGACGGGTGGGCGAAGTTGGCCAAATGCTCCCAGGCAAGGACTCCGACCCGTCCTATTTCAGAGCAATACATTTCCGTGGCCTTGCATGTTATAGGACCTGAGATAAGCAACAGAACGCACAGCAGCAGCCTTCATCAACTTGCAAGTAAACCGTCAGACAAAGTGCAGCTGCTATACCAGTCCTTGACAGCCGATTTCACTGAGTCGCAACCTTTTGGGTCCAACAGCTACTGCAGGCAGACTCAAACACAGCTGCAAACAGTCCTTGGGATAGCAGCGTTGCTTCCCGTCTTCCTGCCGGAAGAAAATGCGCACTTTTGCAGGACTTGGAGCCACGCAGACGCTTAAGGTCCCGCCCATTCCACCATGACGACAGCTACCGCCCATTAACCCTGCAGTCTGAAACTCAAACGAAGCGACATGCCAGAAAACAATGCCTAGCCTGCTACTAGCAAGGACCGAAGGCTGTGCCCGCAACAACCAGTAAAAAAAGACCCCGGCACGCTCCATACATTCGTGCTCGTTGTCTTCGCACGTGCAACCACTTTCAGTCGCACAAGACTCGTTCCCGGAGATGTAATGGTAGCCTGACAAACTGAGCCGAGGCTGTCTGGTACGGGTTCAGCAATTGAGATTGGGGATGGTGGAACGCGCAGTCCAAGCGAGGCAAGCGGCAGGTTTCGAATTCTCCGCAATCGACTGGGCAATTCTCAAACTTGGACATGCACCAGCCCGAACCACATGACTTCTCCCACTCAGGATGGCAAGGACATCCATCAGTGGCATTTGCACAGGTCTCCTGCAACAGCGAAAGCACGGTGTTCGCCCATGGAGCGAACGGTACTGTCCTACTTTTGGCCACAAGCACTTTAGCCGGCATTCGTTGGCAGCGGTGTGCGTGTGTGTGTGTCATAAACTGCATGTTCTCATCTCCAGCACAACTATTTTTTTGAATGTGTGCCATTATTCGCCTTCCTTTCAGCGTACCAAATCTCGGCGGCTGTCTACTCCTCTTCCTCCACCTCCTCCTCCTCCTCCTCTTGCTGTTCCTCCTGCTCCTGCCCTTGGTTGTCCTGCTCTGGCTCTACTGCGGTTTTGTTACTGCCACTCCCACTTGCCGTGCTACTGGTCTTGCTGCTGGCGCTCCCACTTGGATTTCTCCTGCTGCCCAACATGCGGCAAGATACGTACGGAATCCGGGGCCTTCCACGTTCCGTACCAGTCGATTTCCCCATTGTCGTCATACGGCGTCTCGTAGCAGTACAACCTTCGTGTCAAGTGGCTCTTTTGCAAATCGGCCAGGTTCTGAAAAGCCGGAGCCGAGCAGCTGGTCGGCCGTACAGGAGACTGGACAACTGCCGTAGACCTTCGACTGGCAGTAGGACCCCCACTCCATCACGCAGAGCTCCTCCAACGAGAATACACAGCGGGGGGGACGGCTGCGCATCCCGTGCAAGAACTTCGGGGACAGCGAAGAACACCTCGGCGGTCCTCGTGCTCAGAGTTGCAGGGGCAGTGCTGGTCAATACTCTGGCATGTCCTCGGATGGCACCTCTCTCTTCCTACACGGATTGTGGCAGGAGAATGGATCTGTGACCTCTGCTCGCAGACGTAAGGACCTAATACCTTGAAAGCCGTGCGTCTGATTTCCTGGCAATGACCAGTCTGGATAGCCGTCGTTACCGTAAGGAGTTGACCAGCACACCTGACATCAAAGCGAACCAGGCTTCGAGTGTTTCCCATTTCGAAAATCGTATTCGCACTGGTGCAGGGTTATAGTGTGCTTGTGCTTCAGCATGTAGCAGAGCTCGGCCTGAAATCAAAATGCTGCAACCTTTGGTCGGGCTGTGCCTGTTCATCGTCGCCGCATGAGATTGGGCACGAATCCAGCTTCGATGTGCACCAGCTTCCCCATTCGTCAGTGCATTTCTGCTCCCAGGTAGGATTCTTAGCTGATGAAAGGCTCGTTGAGGGATGATGATGCTGGTGCTGATGATGATAGTGGCGGTGGTGATGATGATGACGGTGATAGCTAAATCCTCCAAACATCTCTACACTCTAAACCCTGAACATCCCTGAACCTTCAGCACTGCGCGTAAAAACCCTGGTTGCGCAGCCACAAGGCGCAGGGGCAGCCCTCGGCCAGTGGAGCACAACTCGTGTTGTAGTCGCTCATCCAATCAACCTCTCCTTCAAGAAGTTTCCAGATGCTGGGGGCCAGTGTTGGAGCTTAGGAGTTAGAGTGGGGGGGGGTTTTGAGTGTCGGGGTGTGGGGCATTCGGGGGGGGCATTGTCCCGCTTTGAAGGATTGGCGTCGCAGACGGCCCACGGACGCTTGTTATTGCTATGTCTGCTTGTCATAACACCGTTTTTCTTCTTGCTTGTACTGGCAATATTTGATGAGTTCATGGTTAGCTTGACCCCAGACCCAAAACTGCTCGGGAAAGGAAGGGGTGAGGTCAACTGAACAGGTACGACCACATTGGAGGAATCTCACTACTGTAGGTGGAACTCAAACTAAAGGCTCACCACCCGGTTGTGACTTCCTGATGCATCGTAGGCGTAGCTGTAGCACATCGTCTCGTTAGACGTGCAGAATATGGGACATGCGCCCCATGCTTTGTCCCAGCAGTAGGCCGACCACTCATCTCGGCAAGTATACTCCTGAGATTTGGCATGATGACTGCAGCTAATGGAACACTTCAGGCTCTTGCTCATCTTCCACCCGATTGCTGCAAGAGTCAGTAGCATTGTCACCTGAGCTGCACCCTTCCACCGCCTCTTACGGCATGATGCGACAGCTCACTATCATTGAAATTTCTCGAAGTGCACATAAGTGGCATGTCGTATCGAAGGGATCGTAGCACCTGGGTTAAAGCACGCTGTGCAAGCCAGCAGCGGGATCTTGCAGCCGAGCCACCCCTCGGACTTCGGTGTGCAGACCTGCCCGCGGTACAGAAAGTTAAAAGGAAATATTCAAAAAAAAACTTCGCATTGCTGTGTGCTTTGGATAAGCTGCGTGACGATAGAAGATGGATGTAAGATGTAAGCAGCTAGCACATGCTGCACATAGGAGAGATCCGATCGGGGGCTCTGCCTTGTAGCCCCAGGACTCACAGGAGACTTCCCACTCCTCGTTGCACGGACAGCCCTCCTCGTAGGACGCGCAAGTTGTCTCCATTTCCGCTGACCAATCAATCTCTCCGTTCGCGTCGTACTTAAACTTAGTGCACATCATCTCGGCACAGTAGCCGTAGCCTGGCAGGGAACGGAAGATGAACCACTGAAGCAACCCTGTCCCAAGAAAGCCTGTAAATCAGCACTGCTGCAACACATGATACACGGATTTGGGCGCACCGCCGGATGCGTTGTAATCATATCCAGGTCCATCATAGTCATAATCCTGTCCCGGCCCATCATACTCGTATCCGGATCCGTCGTAGTCGTAAGACCCATTGTAGTCGTAGGATCCATTATAGTCGTAGGACCCATTGTAATCGTAGGACCCATTGTAGTCGTAGGACCCATTGTAGTCGTAGTAGGACCCGTTGTCGTCGTACGACCCATTGTAGCTGCCATTGGTGTCGACATCTCCCTGATCCCCATCTCCCTGGCCCTGGTCCTTGAGGTTGGAGTGTCGGATTCGCTAAAAAACAAGGGCATGAGTCTCTGTAGCGCCTACAACAGGCCCTAAGCCCTAAACATAGAGCTTGCGAGAACGGGCCAAGGCTCCGCGCAGACAATGGTAACAACGGCCGAGAGGAGCAACGCCCGCAGAGACCCCATCTGGAATTGTCACCTTTGCAGTCCACGATGCTGCTGAGAAAATGCACAGCCCAGGACCTTGCAAAACCCCACGAAAGCTGCGCATAGCTGCGCCTCCAGCACGAGCCAGTTCAAACAGCAGATTGCCGACGGCCCGAGCTACCGGCACTAAATTGCCTCTTGGACCCAGCAGACACGCACGAATCACAAGGACAACTAGTTCAGGAAAGCGGTATCACTCGAATGTGGCTGATTCCCCATGTAGTCCATGCAGTGACACAGCTCTCAATAATCTATGTCATCAACCTCCACCAGATTCTCCCAGTGGCTAACAACTATAACAGGGCATCTGTCGACTGGTTTTTGGGCTCCTGCCTACGAAGCAGTGACATTCCCAACACTGCATTTTTGCTGCAATGTCTGTTGCATTCGATCGCGCCCGCATCTGTACAAGGATGGCGAGGGATCTGGAATACTACTGTGGGCAAGAGTGACAAAACGATCTTCTACTTCTACTTACGCATCTCAAGTTGCTTTTCGGGAAACCGACAGCACATGATGTGTATTAGCATTGAGACAACCGTGCACGCGAATTTCAGCTTCCGGTCCCGAACACTTCGTCACAATGGCCATAAATTCAAAGAAGTACTCGCATTGTGCAAACTACAGCTACGAGCGTTGAAACACATCTCCTTTCTGCAGTGCTGTAGAACCAACTTCGGGCTACCTGCAGCATCGAGCCCCGGCTTTATCTTAAGTTCCTCATTCACAAAGCTTAGCACATAGACAGCCTAGTGACATCATTCTCCGACTCTTTCTCTTCGAAAACTTTACGATATCTCTTCTGCAATCTCGGTCTGGAATGGAGGGCTGTGCTCTTGGGCTGGTGTCGGCTTCGCGTCGGGACTGGAAAGCGTGCGTTATCCGCCCAGGCCCCCTTGAGGGATCCGGAGGTGGAAGCCCGAGATGCTGCTGCAGGGGTCATTCTGAGACTCAGCTCTTAGGGCTAGCCTCGCCCTTCCGGGCAGATACTCCGCTGTCCTTGCCAGTGTGGCATGCTTTCTTTAGCAAACCGGTAACCAATGCTGCCGTACCCGGAAGCCGATGCAAAAGCCAAGCGCTGACACTTCACACCTTACACTCAAAATCCTCATTCTCACCGCGGAGACCTACACCTGATTCTGAAATATCGAAAGTGATAAAGTGAAGCCGCTTTCGATGCAAGAAAATCGGCAAGGAACGTATTGTCGTAACCGGCACAATTCGAAGCCGCCGCCACAGACGACGACCACCGCCGGCACCACCACAACCCTAACCACAACCACAAGCAAAGCCACAGCCACAGCCACAGCCACAACCACCACGGCAACAACAACAACAACAACCAAAAATCTACCATCATGACTAGGAGCATCACCACTACTAATGGAACTACTGGTAACAATACGACGATGACGACGACGACGACGGCGACGAAGACCCCCACTGAAACTACTAATGCTGCTGCTACTGCTGCTGCGACTGCGATTGCTACTGCTACTGCTGCTGCCGCTGCCACTCCTACTCCTACTCCTCCTACTCCTCCTCCCTCTTCTACTACTACTGCCACTACTACCACTACTACCACTATTACCACTACCACCATCACCACGACGACTACAACTACCACTACTACTGCTGCTGCTACTGCTGCTGCTACTGCTACTGTTACTATTACTGCTGCTGCTACTACTACTACTACTACTACTACTACTCCTACTCCTACTGCTACTGCAACTGCTACTGCTACTGCTACTGCTACTGCTACCGCTACTGCTACTGCCACTGCCACTGCCATTGCCACTGCTACTCCTACTACTACTACTACTACTACTACTACTGCTACTACTACGACTACTACTACTTCTACCACTACTACTTCTACCACTACTTCTACTACCACTACTACTACCACTACTAGTACCACCACNNCCACGACTACGCTACTTCACGGCTACTACTACTACTACGACTACTACTACTACTGCTACTAGTACTACTACTACTACAACTACAACTACAACTACTACTGCCACTCGTACTACTGCTGCTACTGCTACTGCTACCACTGCTACCTCTCCTACTTCTCCTACTTTTGCTACTTGTGTTACTTCTGCTATTTCTGCTACTTCCACTACTTCTGCTAATCTGCTACTGCTACTACTGCCCCTACCGCTGCTACTACTGCTGCTACTTCTACTACGGCTACGGCTACCGCCACGGCTATGGCTACGGCTACTGCTACTGCCATTGCTACAACTACGACTTCCACCATCGCATCACGCATCATACCGATAACATAGACATTGCACAAGCAGCGCTAAGGTCTCAGAGAAGTCGCAAGGACAGTAAATCAATGCCCCCCCCCCCGGGCCCCCCGACTCCTCTCTGCGAATGCGTGGTTCACCATCATATCGGTGTGTTGCAGTCTCAGCTACTGTGCAGCACAGGTGCTATGACCGCGTATACCGGTAGCGTGTTGGCTTTGTTCTGACATCTTACTACTTTGCCTCCTATGCTTGTCCCAACAAGTTACAACCGAACTGTCCTGGCTGCTGTGGATGCCCTGGTCTTCCTGGCCTCAAGTTTCTCAGCATTCTCAGCATGCGTGATGTTCTGCCCCCAAGGTGCGGTGCTCAAGGCGTTCCGAGTTGTTATTGAAACTAAGTTTGCGTTGGGGAGGTGCTTCTTTTTTATTATCTGCTTCTACAACGCACTAACCACATTTTGACTTTCTGCGCCTTTCCCATGTCTCATATTGGATTCCTGCACTCCTCCTGCAAGCTGCAAGCCCATTGCCGAAAAATGCTTTGGTCCAGACGCGACTTGTGCCGCAACCCATGCAAGCATCCGCCTGGGCTCCAGTTTCGTCTACGTCGGGGTGCGTTGCTTTCGGGCTCTGCGAAAGACCTTCAACAGAAACTGCAGGTTGGAGCTCCAGGCTACCTATCACTGACTTGGCATCACCAGCATCAAACGCAGCACCACCACCACCACAAGCATCATGATAGTACTGGTGATCATGATGACATTAATGATACTGATGCTGACGAGTAGATGGGGGTACAGAGATGTGAGATGAAGATATCCTTGACCGGTTGCGGCGTTCTAGA